GTCCTAAGTGTGTCAAAATTCTAAGAATGACGTATTTTTACTCTTATTCCTAGACTTAAGAATAAGAGTGATTCATAAAGGTTCCTAAGTGTTAAGACTAGGTCTCAGCTCCTAAATTATTTAAGAGAGCTGAAGAGGTCTCCTAACCTAGTTAGGAATAACAAGATGGCAGCAAACAGGAGGAGACACACACTGTCCGATGAAGATATGACGCATTGGAGTTATATGATGATATGGAGTTGATAAAATGATACAAACTTGACCATCAAGATAGTCAATTCTTTCTGTAACTGACCAAGTAAGAAATTTAATAACTTCTTCCACTCTACAAATCAATGCTCTAGCTGCAGAAATGAAAGTAGCAATTCCATTTTTTGGCTGGAAAAATGCAGCAATGCACTGGTGAGTACACAGTAAGCAGGGTCTTAACTATTGTGGCACTAACCTCACCAAACAAAACAGTGGTCAAAAGTGATGTGTGAAGTTTTTTTTTATTTTAATTTTTTATGACCCTACATTTCAATTAAACCATCAAAATATGAGGGGGAAAAAACACTGACCAGTGCTGCCAACTGCTTTCAATTGAAAGCAGTTAAAACAGCTGCTAAATGTTGCTAGATTATGTCATAATGGCGAGTTCACTGATCTATATAAATATAAATATAGATCAGTGGGAAAGTCTTTGAATCTAGATAAGGTTTGTCCAAGAAATAGATTTTGCTAGGCTTTTGAAAAAATCTCAAAAGGGGTGAGGAAGTCACTAAATTGGCAACACTGACATTGACTACAACATAATCAGTTGTTAATATTTCATTGGTCCTGTCTTGTTTTTGCATGTGTTCATAATTTCTTTGTATGACAGCATGGCCAAAAATTATGACCGCATTGTCATGTTGGCATGTTTCATTGCATTATTATGACAAATAAAACAATTGATTCTAAGCAACTATGAAATATGCTTACAAAATCATTTTATTTATTTATTTATTTTTTAAATTAAGGGTGAAGATGTCAAATTTCCTAGGCCGGCATCACTTTTGGCCACTACTATATGGCAGTTCTTTGACTTTCCAACTGCCTGTCAAATCATGCTGCAAACACAAGCAATGATGATACTCCATTTAGCTATTCTAAACAAATGTCCTGGGTATATACAGTGAGTAAATAGCTTTATAACATACAGAGGGATAAGTATGGTGGGGATCAAGCATTTGTTCAAAAACACTATTTATACCAATCCTACCTTTATAAAAAAAATAGTGCAAGGTTTACAAAATAATGTTTATCAATTTCCAACTTCGTCCACAAGGGGTCTGCATCGCTCTCTTCATTTATAGGTATAACATGTGACATGATACAAACCTTTAAAGAAGAGCTCTGCGAGATGAGCACAGTTTTTGACAGCAGAGTTGAGTACATTTCCGTTCTTTTACCTCCTGTAACAATTATGTTTAGATGGGCTTTGATTTATCTGTGTTTCATAGAACATTATTATGGTATGCACATTTTTTTTCTGTTTCTGTATACTTTTAAAGTAAAGGCTTTACTTACATTCAAGCTCCTAAATTATTATTATTCATGTTAATGACTTCCTTTATTTCGGTCTATTTTTCCAGTGTGCTGGGGGCAAGACAGGGTTGAACAGCCTTCAGGAGAAATGACTGAAAATGAAGGAGCTCAAGTTATTTTAATGTGTAATTATACTACTACAAATCCAGATCTCTTCTGGTACAAACAGCTACCAAACAGATCACCAACATTCATCCAGAATCAATACACCACTGAGCCTGATTTCAAGAAGAGATTTTCTGCAACACTGGACTCTACATCGAGAACATTTCCACTGACAATCAAGAATCTGCGTGTGTCTGACTCTGCTGTGTACTACTGTGCTCTGAGGCCCACAGTGACTGAAACACACTCAACACTCATACAAAATCAGAGGAAGTGTTACATTTTATGTTGAGGTGCAAATCCACATGTCATTTACTTCTGTCCCACAACAATAACATGCATATAATAATAGAAAAATCTATTTATTTTAGTGTTGTCAAATGATTAATCACGATTAATCGCATCCAAAATAAAGGTTTTTGTTTACATAATATATATGTGTAGTGTGTATATTTATTATGTATATATAAATACATACACATACAGTAAATATTTTGAAAATATTTACATGTATATTTATATTCTGATTTTTTATATTATATATAAATATATTGAACATAACATATTTTTCTTAAATATATACATGCATGTGTTTGTATTTATATATACATAATAAATAGACACATTATACACACATATTATGTAAACAAAAAGGTTTATTTTGGATGCGATTAATCACAATAAATTAGTGCTGTGCAAAGTGAATATGAACTCTATAAGATCTAAAATATTATAACAAAGTATGAAAAATAATGAAGTTTATATTCTGTATGTTGTGTTCTGAGGACTGACAGAGTAAGTAACAACAAGAGGGTACAATAGGATATGAATAGTAATCAAATGCCTGTATGGTGTATGAAACAGATCTGATCTGCTCTGCTCTCTCAAAGAGCTCTCTGGAAGAGGTGGGGTTTAAAGCACTGATGATACCTGATGTGATCTTCTTACACTTCAAGTCTGTTAGAGAGAGAAATAAGAAACAGACAATGAGTCTTCATTCTGTCATTCTGCTTTCTGCCTTTGCATGTAAGTATTGAAGTGTTTTGTGTTTTGCACCCTAATACTCTGAGCAGCCAGAATGGCTAATTTCTGCTCAAAATTAAGTATAGTGTTTTTCTTCATGTAGTATATTGAATTCTATACTGATACATCCAAATTGAATATAGATTCGATTTAAACACCTGTTCTTAAAAGATTTTATCTACTTTTGAAGATGCAACGTATGGAAATGAAATCAAACCAACCAAATCAGAGGTGTTTGCTGACGAGGGTTCAATTGCTAAATTATCCTGCAGTTATTCATCCGCATTTCGTCTTCACTGGTATCGCCACTATCCTGGATCAGCACCCGAGTTCATTGTGCTCATCTCAGACGGTGCAAAACAAGCTCAGGAATCTTATGTAGATTCAAGATTCAAGACCAAAGTTATTAAAGACAAAGAACCCCATGTGGATCTGGAGATCTCCTCTGCATCTATATCAGACTCTGCTCTGTACTACTGTGCTCTGGAGCCCACAGTGACAGGAAACACAAGAACACTGTACAAAAACCTGACACATTTCATTGCATCTACATCACACATGTCCAGTCCCCCAACATAAAAAGATATAACAAAGGGTGACACACAAAGATTCAGTTAAAAGATGCTTCAGATATTCATAATGTTTTATAAAGCAATGTTCAAAGAGGTGATAAAATCATATTTATATGCATTTGCTTTTTTCAAGGTGGTGAGGAAAGAGGGGTTTATATATGAAAGTATTTTGCTGAACCTGACAGAGACTGTGTCATAAGATCATTTAAGCTGAAACTATAAGCACACATGCAATGATTCTCCATTCAGTTATTCTAAAAAGGAGTAAATAGCTTTATAATATACAGAAGTAAAACATAAGTATAGTGATGATCAAGCTTTTGTTCAAAAACACTATTTATACCAATCATACCTTTCTAAAGAATTTTTCAGGGTTTGCAAAATAACATGTTTAGCAATTTCAAACTTCCATTTCATCCACAAGGGGCCAGCATTACTCTCTTCATTTATAGAATACCATGTGACATGATACAACCCCTTTAAAGAAGAGCACTGTAAAATGAGCACATTTTTTAAAATCTGAGTTGAGCGATTTTTCTGTTCTTTTACCTCGTAGATCAACTATGTTTAGATGGGCTTTGATTTCTCTGTGCTTAATGGCATATTATGATGGTAAGAACATTTTTGTTTCTGCATACTTTAACAGAAAAATGTTTACCTAAATATAGATTACTAAGTGTTTACACTTACTTTCCTAATAATTCAAATAAATGATACATTTTTCTGTCTATTGTTCCCCAGTGTCTTCTGGACAGGACAGGGTTGAACAGTCTTCAGAAGAAATCACTGCGAGTGAAAGAGATCAAGTTATTGTAAGATGTAATTATTTTACCACTGGTATAAATATATACCTTTTCTGGTACAAACAGCTACCAAACAAATCACCAACATTCATTCTGAATCAATACACCACCGAGCCTGATTTCAAGAAGAGATTTTCTGCAACACTGAACTCCACATCAAGAACATTTTCACTGATGATCAAAAACCTACTTGTGTCTGACTCTGCTGTGTACTACTGTGCTCTGAGGCCCACAGTGACTAAAACACACTCAACACTCATACAAAAACAGAGGAAGTGCTCAGTTATATGACGAGGTGCAAATCCACATGATACTGATGCACATGCACATTCATCCCATATGATCTTGTTACATTTTCTAGACTGTCACAAAACTCGCCGAACATGCACGGTGATACTTCATTCAGTCATTCTTTTCTCTGCTCTGGCATATAAGTGCATTTGTTTATTTCTTGTATGCATTTGCAATTAAAAATGTAAGAATACAGTGCGCATAATTATTAGGCAAGTCAATATTCTGATCATACACTCTCAGACAAAAAAAAAAGGTACAACACTGGGGTGGTACCTTATAGGTACTATGTACACTTTAGGTACAAACCAGATCAATCTTAACTACTATTCATTTTTTATATGTTGATTTAGGGTTGCACGATTATGACAAAAATCATGATTGTCGATTATTCCTTTGAAATTGTAATTGCGATTATTAATTTGCAATTAAATGAATGATGTTTACACCTTTGTTTGAAGCAACTGCATGCCATATTTTTATATGAAAATAAGCAAGCTGAAAACACTAACTGAAAAACTTTTATTGCTTTTCTATAGTATTAAGCTAAATACTAAACTATAAATCGGATTGGCTTCTCTTTAAATAAAAAGGTAAAAATATGCATGGTATTATAATGTTATACTAAAACTAAAATTAAAACAAGATAACATGTAGAAAGAAAGCATCTTAAGCATGCAGAATAACATAAGTGTACATTGAATGATTAATTGCTGCTTTGAACGATTATGTAATTGTGGCATCCGTAATTGTAATTGCGATTAGAAATTCGATTAATTGTGCAGCCCTATGTTGATTTATAAGTGATCTATAATTGTTAATGAGGGCTGGAAGTGAAATATTTAGATGTGCATAATTATTAAGCAGGCTTTATAGATAGATGTGGCCCTATACATATAATATTTTGTCAAATAATTTTCTAATTTTAAATGCTACATGAGCTCTTTTTTTTACAGAAAATGTTAACATTTATATATAGATTAATTGTGTGTATACAATTTCAAATCAATGATCACTTGAATAAATTTCAAACACTATTTGAAAATTAAAAGTTGTTCTTTTGCTCTTTTCCAGGTGTGAGTTTTGGAGATGAAATCACACCAGACAGCACTGAGAAATCTGCTGCAGTGGATTCAACTGTTACTTTATCCTGCAGTTATTCCTCTGCAGAATCACTTCAATGGTACCGTCAGTATCCCGGATCAGCTCCTCAATTTCTTGTGCTCATAATAGAGAGTGTGAAAGAGACTAAGACATCTGATGTAGATCCCAGGTTCTCTACTAAGCTCAGAAAAGAAAAACAATCCACAAAAGAGATCAACCGTGTGGATCTGATCATCTCCTCAGCTGCTCAGGAAGACTCTGCTATGTATTATTGTGATCTGACTTCCACACACTGACAGGAAACAAGAACACTGTACAAAAACCTGACACATGTGAAAAAGCATAACTGTACCTTCTACAAATCAGACTAAACAGACTAGATCACAAAACAATAAAGAGAATAAGATTTCCAAACTGCCACCTCAGACACTGAATGTATTCCATCAGACTTTAGTTCTCAAATAATCATGTTTAAAATAAGATAAACTTTTATTAATACAAACAAACAATAAATAAATACATATATAAAAAAAGCAAGGAGGAAAGAAAAATTCAGATTTTTTAAGGGGGGGGGGGGGGGGGGGGGAAACACTACACAAATTAAATTTATTTTACAAA